TAATATCTAAAATAACAAAAGAAGAAATTCAATCAGCAATCAGGAGAATGAAAGGAGGGAAATCTCCGGGGACAGATGGTTTTCCCACAAAATGGTACAAAGTAATGCAAGATCAACTAATTCCAACACTATTAAAAATGTTTAATTGGGGTTTGGAAAATAAGAATATCCCCCCCTTCATCGAGGGAAGCAATGATCTCAATCATACCTAAAGAGGGGAAGGACAAATTGGATTGTGGGAATTATCGTCCTGTAAGTCTTTTAAATAATGATTATAAACTATTCACCTCCATATTATCTAAAAGAATAGAACTGACTACCAGTATTAATACATAAGGACAAGACTGGCTTTGTCAGACAAAGACAGACCCAAGATAACATCAGGAAAACACTGCACGTTATGAGACGAATCACTCATCAAAAACTGGAGACACTGATATTAAGTTTGGATGCAGAGAAAGCATTCGACTCAGTGAGGTCATTTATATATAAAGTACTTTCAAAATTTGGCTTTCATACGACTATAATTGACACATTTGCAGCTCTATACAACAAACCAACGGCTAGAATCAAAATCAATGGAGATCTAACCAGTTCATTCATTCTGGAAACAGGAACTAGACAAGGGTGTTGTGCGTTGCTGCTCCTCCTTAACACAACCTACTCAGACACTCCCAAAACTGATGAAATTATTACAGGAATTTGGTATTAAATATTAAAATTGAACTATGACCCGCCAGCCTCAATTAAGACCAGGTACAGTTGGAAATGGGAGGCTGAATCCATTAAATATCTGTTTTATTACCTAGGGACTTTTCAAGATTGTACCACATCAATTACGGCCCATTAAATTCAAAGATAAAATCTGAAATACATAGATGGAATGTTATTCCCTTTTTAAGTTTAAGTTCCCGGATAGAGTCAATCAGAATTAATATTCTTCCACAGATGCTGTACCTTTTTCAGTGTCTGCCAGTCAAAATACCATCTGAGCAGTTCTTAGAATGGGACAGATTAATAGAAAGGTATTTGTGGCAAGGGAAAAGGGCCAGAATTAAATTTAAGACACTGCAACTAAGAAAAGAGAAGAGTGGAACGGGCCTTCTCTGCCAACAGGATTACTACCATGCAGCCCAACTGAGACGCTTAGTCTGCCTGTGTTCACCAACATACACTGCAGCATGGAAAGAAATAGAAAGTACGATGTTAAACGGAATAAACAGCCCTACTAAGTGATAACAAATTACTAGAAGAACAGGAAATCCCAGACGATTCTATAAGAGGCAGCTTTCTGAAGTCCTGGCAGGCAAAAGCAGATTAGGAGAAGCATCTAAAATTATGAGATGGTGTGCTTATGATTATGAAGAATAAAGATTATGGACTGGGAAAAAAGGATTTTTTTAAGTACCTGCAAGTGAGGTGTCACTTTAATGACAATCATAAAGGGGTTGGGGAAAATATGCCAGTTACAGTGGTTATCAACTGGGTCAAACACATGATGGGAGTTTTGCGGGAAAAACATTGCAAGATTTTTTATCGCACCCATTCAGAAACGATACCAGGGCAGCGTAAATGCCTGTTGGAGACTTTGTGGATCTAATGGAGCCAACCACTTCCATATTTTTTGGGACTGCCAGACAATAAGACCTTACTAGGAAGAGATCCACAAACATATAAACAATGTATTTAGTGTAAACATTCCACTTAAATGTGAAACTGTGTATTTGGGCAATCTAGGGTTTGAAGCATGGAACATCAACATCAATAAAAAACTGCTGCCGATACTACTGGCTGCCAGTAAGAAATCTGTTACCAGGAAATGGTTAAAAGTAGACCCACCCACCATTGATGAATGGATTAAAATTGTCTACGAGATTTATGTTATGGAAAAGAAGTGGTGCGCAACCCGGTTCTGTTCTGCTTTGTTATTGTTCCCAACTGAATAAGTTGTGGTCCGTAAAGAGAAAATTTCAGAAGGGCAATATGGACCAAGTCATCTAAACTTTCTCAATCCACCCTTACTTATGTACTTGAACGACGGGAACGATGGGAATTTGCTCTTCCAAATAAAAAGAGAAAAAAAAAAAAAGCAATAAAGAAAACATGGTCGGACATAAAGTGGATGTCAAAAAAGAGTTTCTCTGATACAATCGAGGTGTTTGTGAGGTGGAAGTTTAATAGAGTTTCATAAAATTACATTATTCTAAACAAAGGTTTTAGGTAGAAATGTAAACACTGAATGTTGTATTTGTACTGTAAAGATGGCACGGTTCCATCAGCTTGGTCTGTCTAATGCTGAAGTTCAGCAGACAGATTCAGGAGCAGGACTCTAGGGAATCTAAATCGAAACATTAGCCTGACATCATCATCGGTCAGGAAATCTTCATGGACACTCGCTTCGGTCAGTGGTATCCACCCACCCTGGGAGATCATGTGAAGATGGAGGTTTGCAGGTGAACACATTGTTTTTATTTTGGTTTTGTTATGTTTGGCCTACATCATGATGAGGACTGATGGTGAGGTGGTCTCAGTGCGCTCTGTGCGCCTGGCAGCACAGTCTGTACACTGCAGCCATTTTACACACAAAAACTAAACTGAAGACTAAATGGTGATATATGCACAGAGGATATTATTAAAAACTACTGACGCTCTGTTCTGTAATTCTTTAATGCTATTTTGAGGTTATCCTTAATTTGTAAGACGATGAATATTCCATCAGTTAGCCGAGTTGAACTCTGAAAAGGACTCAGTAGGTAAATTTACGTCTAAAGGCGAGCTGCCGAAATTGTGACACCTGACATTATGCTGGGCTTATGCAGGAAGTTCAACAGCGGGGCTCATAGGTGTCATTTACACGGGTGATGCGCCTCTTCTGTTTTTTCTTTCTAGACTTGCTGCAACAAGTGTTTATATTTCCTCTTCACATACTCAATTAGACATCCTTCGCAAACAAACTTTATTCACATCCTATTACTTTTCAGTAAACCCCCTATGGGACATTTCAGTATAGACTGAGCCTTAAAAGCCATTTTTAACTCTGTGGGAGTATCTCTTATGTTTAGCTCAAGGGATTCTCTGTGTTGCTGTCACTGTTTGTGGCTAACAAATCGCACTAACGAGTCACATAACACCGGGAAGGGAAACTGGCTAATTGGGCCCAATTTGAACATTTTCACTTAGGGGTGTACTCACTTTTGTTGCCAGCGATTTAGACATTCATGGATGTGTGATGTGTTTTTTTGAGGGGACAGCAAATTTACACTGTTATGCAAGCTGCACACTCACTACTTTACATTTTAGAAAAGTGTCATTTTTTTCAGTGTTGTCACATGAAAAGATATAATCAAATATTTACAAAAATGTGAGGATGTAGTCACTTTTGTGAAATACTGTATGAGATATATTATAGGCCAATATAATATGATATTGGATTATTGGAAATTATTAATTATTAACAACTGTACTGATGTGGCATACTTTAGTAAATGTCATTAGTTCTAGCCAGTAAAACTCTAAATCTAAATGGTGAAGATGATATTAAAGATGACAATAACCTTTCATAAAGAGAGACAGACATGCCATTCATACTTATTCATTGAACAGGCTACCTGTACTGATACTGTCAGTACTTTAAGGGAAACAAAGAATTCATAGCTAGTTTTATGTTACGAAAAATGACTCATTGTTAAATTTCTCTGGAATTTATCCAGCGATGGTGTCACCCAACAATGCCCTGTTTCAGTCTCACATGTTGAACAAGGCTCATCTGACAGCAAACATGAATCTGATATATATTTCCTAACAATGATTAATAACTAGTTCAAACTAGTAACTCTAGTTTATTACATTTTGCCGGCCCTTTGTTAAAGTAAAGTTTGCATCTCTCTGTCAGTTCACATATTAATAGCCCTGTTAGCCATAGATAAAATCATGCTTGGTAACTCCTACTTTGGTGTTATGATGGCAAATCTTAAACACAGTGAATAATAACCATTTCATATAAGTTACATTGATGTGCACAGATGCTTGCACCATTTAGAAACCCACTAAGGCAGCATGATAAAGTACACCCAATTGATTCAAATAAGAAGAGGATGCATTCACACAAATTATGTTACACAAATTATGTTACCAACCTCTAATCCTGTAATCTGTACCTTGAATGTCCCACCTCAAGACCAAGTAACTTGTCAGGGGAAAATGCCAAGATGTAAATGAAAGCAGTAATATTGCAGGAACAAGACATTTCACCGTTTTCTTCTTCTGTTGAGTTTAATGGCAGCTGGTATCCATAAATGTTGCATCTTTTCCAGCATTGCCACAGCATGTGTGAAAAGGGACAAGACTGGGACTTCCAGAATGAAGCTGCATGTGTGAAAAGTGAAAATTTTGTTTGATGAACTCACACCAAACCGTCTCAGTTTGTTGCAGAGCTCTGCATGTAAATAATCTAAACTTAGTGGAATATTTATTTTGGGAAACTGAATTGCTGCTACAGACACATCTGAACTAGTAAACATCAAATCTACTAGTACAGTGCCTGTTCGGAGAGGGCTGGTTGTCAAAGGACAGAAAGAGACTTTAAAATTAGATGACATTATGGCTGACGGGTGTTTTCCCTTAAGACATAATAAAAGAGATGGATGCTCAGCCAAAATACTCACTACATCAGTGAATATAACAAAATATAACCCTACTGGAATTTGTCCTTATTAAAACCTTTTAGTGCAGGAAATTTAATCAATTGCAGGCATGTATAATGTGTCATTTGATAGTTTGAGTTCTGCTTAAGAATGATCTTGCAGTGATAATCTTTCACAGTTCCTTGGTTACAAACATCGTGCAAACAAAACTTTAAGCTGGAAACGGCGAACATGTTGCCTGTAAATGTGTATTTGAGTTGTGTGTTTTGTCTTTAGTTCCTTGGTTTTGTGAGGTGGCAAGATAAGTAACTGCATCCTCAGTTCCTGGTAAGATCCGTCTACAACTGTATATAAGAGCTGGTGTTTCTCTGGTTCAGCAGCTCCAGACAGGACGACTGAAGCTACAGACGCTGAGAAGGAAGAAGAGAAGATCGTTCTGCAGCAGGTTTGCTCACAAACTGTCATTATATATTGACCCGACTGCCACTACAGGTGGTCTCTTCCCTAGAGAAGTATTACTAACATGTCCCTGTCTGTCTTTATTAAAGGTAATCATCATCTTCAACATCTGCATCATCTCCACCATGAAGACGCTGACTCTGTCTGCACTTCTTTGTGCCATGATGGCTCTGACCAGAGCTGCTGGTGAGTATTACTCCATATGTGAGTGAGTGTGAAAGAGAGACAGCTTATGTTCATGTGTCTATACACAGCAACAAGAGTAGCTGAAGACATGAACTCACTCCAGTGGGTCAAAATGTCCTTCCAGCTCTTCCAGACGCAGAGGATGAACCTGGGACAGAGGGAACTGCTGTCCAAGGTGAGTGAATATTTCTTTAGATTTGTAATGGTGCCCTCTTATAATCACATATGAGGCATGAGTATTACTGCATGTGTAGCATAGGTGTCATTTACGCTGGGGATATGTCCACACCACTTTTTAAAAGAATAATTTGTTAAAAATGTTCTGAAAAATAGCTTGCAACGATAAATGCTAACTAAAAAATGAAAATACTATTAGAAAGGTTTGTTTGCACAATAAGAAAACACGCTATGCAATTTAAATATAGAAGAATAAAAGAAAACAAGCTTCTGTTTGCTGCATTTTCTTCCATTATATATATTTATATTTTGAATTATCACCTGCCAGCTGTGTTGAATTTCACTTTATAAAAACAAAGGCATTTCCATGAATTGCTGCAGAGAAGCTCTCCAAAATGCAGGGAATTATGTGCTTAATGCTCAAAATCTTCCGACCCCCGATCATTCAGCACTGAATATTTCTTCAAAATAATGTTAAAATATTTTCCCTGTAATCCCAACATTGTGCATCGTCATGTCTCGTGAGTTAAATGCATTGTCACACTCCTAATCTGAGCCACTGTGTCCCCAACACGAGAAATAATTTGAACTTATTCATATATACACAATGTAAACAGCAGACAATTTAAATCAGTAACTGCTATGTCAAACTGTGCAGCTCTTCCAGACACAGAGGCTGGAAACTGGACCAACATTACTTTTCCAGAATTAAGCTACTTTGTCATGATGTTCTCCTGGAAACAAACAGAAATACTGCATCTACCACTACTGTAGACTCACTGTCCACTCTTTTGTTTGACAGAAAAGAGTCATGTTGTCAAGAGGGCCACAGTATGTCCTAATGATTGGACTCCTTTCAGTGGTCGATGTTACCGCTACGTTCCACAAGTCATGAGTTGGGCTTTGGCTGAGGTAATCAGGATTATCTTTATTCATTTATTCTTTTTACTACTTTCTACAGTAAGTTACTACTTTCTACACTTATTTTTCCGCTGTAGAGAAACTGTCACACTTTGGGTGGAAACCTCGCATCTGTTCAAAACTCCAAGGAGTCCGGTGTGATTCAGGTGGTGATGACATTGAGCAACACTCAAAATCAAATAGTAGCTTGGCTTGGAGGGTCTGATGCACAACAGGTATATTATTTGTCATTTACCTAATGTGTAAATAATTATTGTCTTTTAAACGTTCAATATTCTCTTCTGTGCTCAAGGAGTCACTGTGGTTCTGGAGTGACGGAACGCCTTTCCACTTTACTCAGTGGTGTCCTGGACAGCCTGATAACGCTGGTGGTCGTCAGAACTGTCTTGGTTTTAATTTTAGAGGTAAATAATATAATAATATTATAATATAATATAATAAATAACATTTTCAATGTGAGCTCAGTGTATAATTGGTGTAAACTGGACAGGATGAATATTAAAGAAAAGGCTGGTGAATTACAATTTGAAAATCTTTGGCTTCATGAAGTCACTTGTAGTTACAAATGATGCATTGCATCCTAACCTACAGCAAGTACACAATTGATTATCAGGTTTATTTGTAACCTATTAAAGTAGTCATAAAATCATGGTGTTGTGATGACAACAGTCAGGAGTAAGAGTTATCTGTCTACATAATGATGCTGCATTCAAAAGTTTCAGGTTTGCTGTCTGACTGCTGTGTTTTTGGTTCTTATAGACTCGAAATGCTGGGATGACTTTGCTTGTGAAGTTCAGCACCCATCTGTTTGTGTCAGAGAGGAATGATAAAAGCACAAACACTGATCAATTTGTGGCTGTGAGGAAACTCCACCAGTCTCATATTTGACCTGAAGGCTCTAAATCTCATTTCACATCTTTATTTCTTCTCTATCGCTGTAACGCTACTAAAGAAACGAAGCAACAAGTGACATAAACAGCAGCTGGATTGTCTCTGTCTCTTTAATTTGAGCAGACTGAATGTGTAATGAAAAGAAAGCTTTTAACACAACTTTATTCTGCAGAGTGAACTGTTTTTTCTTTTCTTATGCAAAATTAGTAATAAGTCTCAAGCATTGAAACAAGCTGGTCTGTGTTATATCTCCTGTTTCTACGGGTAAAATCTTCCTTGACCTCAAAGAGCTTCACCTATAATACTGTTAAATAATACTGAACATTATAGTTGTTGGTAGCACCCAGTGAAAATGTCCATCCAATAAACCTAATGAGAGATGGTACAAAAGGGATGTGATCGCAGGATTAGATCTTCATATTGAAAGTTTTTGAAAGTGTCCGACAGCAGTTGGTTTAGTTTAACCCTCCTGTTGTGTTTTGGGCAAAATAAATCAATAAATATATCCACAAGCGGCAATGGTGCAACATTTGACATTTTCAGAGGAGAAGAACAGATGCAGATGACTTAAGAGATCAAAGTGATGAAAGAATTTGGACTTTTTCAGATAATTCGAGAAACGCAAATTTGATTTTTGCAGCATCACCTTGAAATCAGAGAGTGTCACTATATGTATTTCACCCCCATTGTCAGCAAGTCTGACTTGGTCACCTGGGGTCTCATTTATAAAACTGTGCATAGAATCCTCACTAAAAGTGTTCGTGCACCCAAAAGCCAAAAATGGTGGACGCCAAAAAATATTCAGACTTATAAAACCGAGTGTATGAGTTAAAAGAAATATGACTGTGAGTTGTTATAAATGACAATAACGTTTGACAATGACGGTTGGCTTGATAAGGAAACGGACATGTGATGAAACTATGCTCTCATGTTTGCTCGACTGACGCATTAAAAACGGCATCAATTTAAATATATTTGTCCTCCTGTTCACCTTATTAATGAGAATAAATTTCAATGCATGCAAGTAGGACTATTAACTGTCCAACATATTTGAGGCGTTCTTTTGCAGAAACAGAATCTCCGTTTGTGTTATTATCCTCAGTCATGGTTTTTATTGTGCGTCGCAAATTATCTTAAATTATGTTTTGTTATTGCCCACTTCAGGGAAAATCAATCAAAGGAGTGTCTGATTATTTAGAAAGGCTTTAAGACTATACTACTCAGAGGTAACATTTCGATATATTTTACACAATAGTAGGCCTATTCATTTCAAACAGTTTCATCCTTCTTTTTTCATTCTTCTGCTACAAGTTTGTTTTTTATAGATCACAACCTTTGCTTGGGAAGTGGCGTATCACGTTTCCAGCCCTGTTTTGTACATACGCACCGTTTATAAATTGGACCCCTGGGGCCTCATGTATAAAAGACTGTGCAGCTTTCATACTGAAAGATGGCGTACTCACAGAATTTGAAGTACCATATGCACAAGTATAAAACCAGGCGTACGCCAGGACCTGCGCACCTTTATACATCCCAGCCAACGTGAAATTGAGCGCACATGCACGAGCTACATACCCCGCCTTGGCTCCTCCCATAAATTACTACGCAAATGCCCATAAATACGCCAGCGTCACCTCCTAAGGTCCAAAGAACAACGGTCAATCCTGCTGCTAAACAGTGAACAGTGATGGTGCGTAAGAGAAACTTCAGTGAGTGTGAGCTCGAGGTGCTGATCAATGAAGTGGAGGCGAGAAGAAAAATTTTATTTGATGGTTGAAACTCTTTGAACAGCTCTAGGGAATCTGAATCGAAGTATTAGCCCGTCATCATCATGGGCCAGGAAATATTCACTCTCTAATCCTTACACCCGCGTTTTCCTCTGCAGAGCCATTGCGCAGCGTTACGGTGCTTTCAGACCAAACGCAAATTTAATCCTCACGACGCTTTCCTCGCATGAGTACATTCGCTGCAAGTGTTCACACACAACGCGAGAAGGCGATTAGAACCCGTGAAAATTCACGCAGTGTTTAGATTTTTACAGCCATCATACAGGCTTCACACCTCGCCTAAATGATGGCTTCAGTCAGTGGTCTCCCCCACCCAGGCAGATCATTTGAAGATTGAGGTTTGACAGGTGAACACATTTTTAATGTCGGTTTTGTTATGTTTTTATTTGCATCATGAGGACTGATGATGAGCATGGAGAGTAGCGATTATGGGAGAGCTGTCCCTGGCTATATTTCCAGACATTTTCTAATTAACACAGTCCATATGTGCAGGTGGTGAAGATGTGCCGGGTGTGTCGAGGTGAGAATGCAGATCTGTTTGAGTGCCAGCGCGGCGTCTCAGTGCGCCTGGAAGCACAGTCTGTTCACTGCAGCGATTTTACACAGAAAACTAAACTGAAAACTAAAGAGTGATATATGCACAGAGGGTCTGGGTATCTCTGGATAATCCGTAATTCGTTTGTAATTCTAAAACGAAAATACCGTTTACCTGTTTTTTGTTTGAGTGTGTGCCTAATTATAATTAAAATAACGTTTTTAGTAGGTTATAAAACTAAACTAAATCTGGGTGTGGGAAAAATACACTTTAATTAACTGAAATAAAAACAATAACTAATAAAATAATACCTGTTAGGCTGATAGGGAGAATTAAACATTTGTAAGACCATTGGTGACCTGTAACTTCAGATTAAGACAATTGAACTAATGTTATATGTAGTATATGTATTTTTATTTTCCTTTGCATTTTTCTTCAGTGTAATATATTTATTATATTAGTTAAGTAGATTAAATATTTTTAATGCAGCCTGTAGTTCTCATTAGTTATGTAGGCCTACTTATGTGTGAAACCTGGTGAGCATTAAAGGAAAAACTTGAGGGGAAATCTGCTGTTTACTTGGCCATCCTATCTGTTTCTTGGAGGCTGAGTGTAATATGTGATGATAACTGGATCGAGTTAATGTTCCTGATCATTTGGTAGGTTATGTGTTTGTTGCAATTTGTTTTCAAAAGAGGGACATAATTAGGTTTTTGATCGACTACTTCATTGAGATCTGCACAGTAACTGCAGTGGAAACGCTATTTTGAAACATTTGGTGAGTTTTGGCACTTTGAAGTTCACTGACAGAGCCAGACAAAAGTTTGCGGAGGGTCCGCACATTTTCACTGCAGCTCAAGAGTTTACGCCACCGCCCGCACATTCTCACGTCACGTTCATTTTTATACATCCCATGTGCACGTGAAAACCAGCGTACGTAACCTTTTTGTGCCTAGACAGCGGCAGATTTGAATACTGGAACTTCAGATCTCCAGAGTAGGTGACACACTGACTAAGCCACTAATGAGAGGCGGTTTCGATACACCTTCTCACAAGTTGAGGTAATGACATATTATGTGCCAGACCTGGAGAGTTTTGTCAGTTTGAACTTAAAACGCTTACAACAGTCGAGATGTTCGTGAGAAAATTCGGGAAAAAATCACACATCATGCTGCTGGTTTTGGGTGTGTTGTTAATTATTTTGGTTGCATTGTATCCAACACTAAAAAAACGTTGTGCATACTGTACAAGTTATAGAAAAATACTGAACATAACACAATGTGAATCTGGTTGGACAAAAACTTAAATTTTAAATACCATGTTGATTATCTTACAAAGAACTTGAAATTCACATTGGGTTTTCTGTACAGGCTAAAGTCCTGTTTCTCCATGGCTCTCTTCACTTGCACAGGCTTGAACATTGGTATATTTTAATTTATAAGATAATTATAGGTGAACTTCCAAATTATTTAAACAGGACATTTTTAACTTTTCAAAGCCGTCATAATCTCAGGTCACATAACTGGCTACAGTTCAAAGTGCCTGCTATCAGAACA